GGGCACAAACTGAGGCACAGGAAGTTCCGTCTGAACATGAGGAAGAACTTCTTCCCTCTGAGGGTGACGGAGCCCTGGCCCAGGCTGCCCAGGGAGGTTGTGGAGTCTCCTTCTCTGGAGATATTCCAGCCCCGCCTGGACAAGGTCCTGTGCAGCCTGCTCTGGGTGACCCTGCTTGGGCAGGAGAGTTGGACTAGATGACCCACAGAGGTCCCTTCCAACCCCTACCATTCTGTGATTCTATTCTATTCTGTTATTTAAAACTTCTTTCCAAGGCAGTAGGACGGCGCAGTGGAAGCACGTCAGAGGTTCTCTGAAGTGGCTGTGGACTTCGGTAACCGGTGGGGTCTGCCGAGCCCCTTCCCGCGGTGGGGAGTCGCCAAGGGAGAACGTGCGCTCGCGTGGACCCGACCCTGCCTGGAGCCTGCCCTGGAGTCACGGCGCAAACCACAGCACGAGCATGACGTAGAATTTTAAGCTTTTGGAGCACTCTGAAAGAGAAAATTGTTCTAAACACGTAGAAGTGAAACCTGACTCCAAATTCATCCTTTGAAAGGAAAGCTATAGGAAATCTGGCCAAAATATCTTCATTATTTCTAACAAATCTTCTCAAAATATTTGGCCAGTAAGGGTTTTTTTTTGCCTACTTTGCCTACACCTCCAGGGTTATGGTATTATGTAAAAACCTGCGAGGGAACTTCGAAAACAGAGATATCTCACCTTCCAGTGAGACCTTTGTGCAGAAATGCATGTATGTGTTGTACAGAGAAGTTCTATAGGGTGCTGCATGGCTGACAGGGCAGGAGCGTGTGTGGTTCAGGAACCCGAGCGAGAAGGAAGGGAAATCTTCCCCCTAAACGAAGGGCAAAAGGTCCCCAAAACTGAAAAGCAGACAGCGTGAAGGTAGCGGTTTCGGTATAAATGCAAAAAAGGAATTGTGCTCCTCTCTGTCTGCCACTGGTGGTTTCCTCAGGGGCGACATCTTGACATAAAGGTCAGATTTTCGTGAGGTTTAGTGCCCTGGAAGTCATGGACTTCCAGCGATTAGTAAATTAGAACTCATTGGTAAATTGGAGAAGTAATTCTGGTCAGTGGTGTTACCAGCGTGGTCCCCCTGTTCCGACGCCCGCCTCGAGGTCCGTGCGCCTTCGCGCGAGCAGCCGGGCGTCACCGATGGACACAGAATCACAGAATCACAGAATCACAGAATGGTAGGGGTTGGAAGGGACCTCTGCCCCAGCCCCCCCCCCCTGCCGAAGCAGGGTCACCTACAGCAGGCTGCAGAGGACCTTGTCCAGGCGGGTCTTGAATATCTCCAGAGAAGGAGACTCCACAACCTCCCTGGGCAGCCTGGGCCAGGGCTCCGTCACCCTCAGGGTCGTACCGCTGCGGGTCGCCCTGAGGCGTCGCCAGGTTCTGCAGGACCTGGCTTGCTCCTTCAGCTTCCCTCGAAGAAACTCCTGAAAAACAAGGTGCTGGTTTGCTAAAGCGGGGGTGGCTTTTCTGTGGGGCGAGTTTTGGGAGCTGGAGACGTATGGAGCTGCTTCTGGACCCGGCGGGGTTCGGGGGAGCCTGCGGCTGCCCTGGTTTCACCCGGGCCGGCGGG